TAAGAGAGAGAGTGCGTGCGTGAGCAGGGTAGGGGCAGAGAGAGAGGGAGAGAGAATTCCAAGCAGGTTCCATGCTCAACACAGAGCCTGACATGGGGCTCAATCCCACAGCCCTGGGATTGTGACCTGAGCCGAAATCGAGAGTCAGACGCCCAACTGACTGAGCCACCCAGCCACCCCCTCAATTCAAACAACTTAGAAAGTGTGACCAAGAGATAAGAAAGGAAATGGTCACCTGTAATCCTGTCACCCCCCCCCCCAAATAAGCATATGAGCATCCCAAGTTTCTAGGCATATACTCAGTACTCTTACCTTTTTAAAAAATGTATTTAGGCTAGATAAACATGTACAAATCGTATATTGCTTTGGATGTCAGGGCACCGTGATGGTTAAAAACACAGACATTAGAGTCAGATAAGCCTGGGTTGGCATCCTGGCTCAAATTCTTAGTGGCTCAGTGACTCTGGACAAGTTATATAACCTCCCTAAGCCTCCGTGTGTTCCGCTGATAATCGGGAGAACACCTCAGCGTTGCAAGAATTAAAAAATACACGGAGAGCATTTGCAAAGTCCTGACCTGTGCCAGGAACTAGGTCGATGCTAACTCTTGCTATTGAGTATGTTCAGCTGATTTTTTGGACCTAGGCAATAATGATTTTTCTCTTGTTTTTCTAGTTACTCCCTCATTTGCTCCAGATGCGGCTGAATAACATGTTGTTGAAAAAAGCCCTTCCCATCATCATTCTGAGTAAGCAGGAAGCATGCAGTCGCTGTGGTCTTTGAGCTTTCCTTCATCTTTGGGGACAGCCAGGTCCCTTGGCCACATTGTGACTGATGACAGCTGCTATTTGTAGCTTTCCGAGGTCCCCGGGGCCAAACTAGGTCCTTGGTTTGAGAGGTGACACTTGCTCTGTAGATATACTCTTCATTGTCAGAGGATGAACACAATTACATTTGCAAGACTGTGCAAGCCCTGTGCATGTATTATTTCACTTAATCCTGACAAAAATGTATGGGTAGCAATATCGTTAGTCCATTTACAGAGGCTGAGGCAGGGGAACATTAACTGTCCTAGGGTCACACAGGGAATAGGTGGCAGTAGGGGGGATTCCAGCCTGGTGGACAGACTCTAGTGGGAGCAACAGAGATGTTAACCATTTCAAGTTTGCCAGCCTGCAGATTCACACTCCGTGTTTGACTCTGGAAATCATAATAGCGGTTTGAAGTGTTGGCAGAATGATGTGAGCGGTAAAATTTGGGAGAATGTCATAGAAACCTGATCAGACCAGCTAAAGCAAAGAAGGGGGGTGTATTTACAGGACCCTGGGGTTTCTCCTGGAATCTTCCCAGGGAGCTGGGCTGGACTTTCAGAGGTGCTGAAACCTGGTGCCGGGTCCTGGTCAGGGAAGGACCAACTGACTGGGAAGCCAACAGTTCTGATCCAGCTCCACAGCCCCAGGACAGAGCTCGGTTGGCCAGCTCCAGCCAGGTGACCTCCTGAGGGCAGAGGAAGCATAGCCATCAGAGAAAGAGGCGTGACATCAGAAAAGGTGTTCCTTCACTGGGCCAAACTCACCCTCTGTTGTGCATTTTCTTCTCTACATCCACAGCCCACATCAGTGCCATGAATGTTGTTGCAGCCCGAAGCCTTGAGCCCATTCGAGGGATTGAAGTCATGGACAAGGAAGGCAATGTCATGGGCTATTCCAGAAAAGCCGGGACAAAGGTAAGGGGACACAATGGAGCCTTAGCTGGCTTGCCTCTTGGGTAGAGCATTGAGTTTTCTGTTTGAGAGCTGTACCCAAGTCATGTCTCCCTTCCATCTTTCCTTATCCTGTTTTCCCTCTTGCAGACAGAGCGGTTTTCCATTTTGCACTGTGATGTTTGAAATGATGTTTCCATTTTACACCAGTAATATGCAATTAGTCTGAGTTCTCCAGAGAAACAAAACCAGTCGTATGTATGCATGTGTGTATTTATTTTAAGTAATTGGCTGATTCAATCGTAGGGCCCATAGGTTGCTCAAGTGTAGGCCAGGTCGGCAGGTTAGAAACTCAGGAGCCCTTGAGGCAAAATTTCTTCTTTGGGAAAACCTTCTCGATTTTGCTCTCAAGGCTTCCCAACTGATTAAACAAGGCCCATTCACACCATGGAAGGTAATCTTTGCTTAAAGTTAACTGATTATAGATGTTAACCACATTTACAAAATAGCCCCACGGTAGCACGTCAGTGTTTGGTTTAAGTACCAGGTCCCATCGCCTAGCCAGGTTGACACATGAGACTGACCGCCGCAGACAGGCTTCCACCAAATGCTAGGCCGCTCTCTGAGGGTGAGATTTTATTTTTCCAGCTCAGCATCCACACACACACACCCCCAAGGCTGCTCTGCACTTGTGGAAGTCAGTGACTCCCTGTCTGGATTTGAGAGCAATGTTCGCGGTCCCCCTCACAGCAGATTTTCTTATAGTCTTCATCTTTCCGGACCAGTCTGCTGGCAAGGCTGGGCTGAGAAAAACCGTGCTCTGACCAGAACTCTTCAAAAAGGCTTCGGTTTTTAAAATTTTGTTGTAAATACTTTTTTAAGTTTATTTATTTATTTTGAGAGAGACAGTGCATGCCAGAGGGACAGAGAGAGAAGAAGAAGAAGAAGAAGAAGAAGAGAGAGAGAGAGAGAGAGAGAGAGAAAGAGAGAATCCCAAGCAGTTTCCATGCTGTCGGCACAGAGCCCCACATGGGGCTCAATCTCACAAACCTCGAGATCATGACCTGAGCCGAAATCAAGAGTCAGACACTTAGCCAACAGAGCTACCCAGGCGCCCGTCGAAGGCCTCAATTTTTAATAAGTTTTATTACTAAATAGTTGAATTCTTTTGCTCAATTCAGCACCCTGGCTTCTGTGTGCATTCAGGTTGAAGAAACTGGACTGGCCTATGGTGGTCTCATTTGGGGTTTGAACTTTTTGTAAAATTACTTTTTCAGCAGGTGAGGTTTTTTTGTTTTTTTTGTTTTTTGTTTTTCTCTGTGGAATGCCATTAGCTAAAGAATCATAGCATGAGGCAATTGTGTGCAAATGGCCTGAACAGCAGCAAAGAACAGCCCAATAAGAAGTGAAGGGAATAATAGCTTCTCGTGTTGTCAGTGTTCAAGGGGACTCCTGTCGGGACACCCTCTGCCCTATGTGTCAGCAGAAGAGGAGGTCAGTGGGGCGCCTGGGTGGCGCAGTCGGTTAAGCGTCCGACTTCACCCGGGTCACGATCTCGCGGTCCGTGAGTTCGAGCCCCGCGTTAGGCTCT